TGCTCTTTTATGACATTCTGGCTGTCTGCGAATGTTGGCACTCACAGGTGTAGCTTGTCTCTGCTGAACGGTTGGGATAGCACCCGTGTGCGTGGGTCTTGGGGCTCCGGTACACCCGGCTGGAACGGCTGATTGATCTTTGTCCAAAGCGTGCTTATTACGCCCATGAGCCCCGTCTTCTCTTTCAGATGATATGTCTGGAAAAATAACCATAACGGAACTGAAATTAAACAGAGATTAATCCATTTATAGCCAGAGCTAAAGAGAGATGAGACACACTAGAAGTTGAGACCAGGGTCAGACGATTTAACACCACAAATGTGGAATGGTAATATCTTGTTTTGGGGGCAAACAAAGCACATGTGGTATGTGGGTCTATATGTCTCAACAGCTAATCCACCATTATCAGATTATATCATTCAATACAACTCACCACCTCAAAGGATAAATCATTCTTTCAGGATGTTGCTCTAAGCCACATCTATAAATGTATGGGAAAACATGACACTAACATTCATCTTAGTATGCAGTCTATATGACAAAACATTTAACAAGTAAATGTTCGGCTTGATGATTGTGTAATCAGATAATTTTTTTTCTCTGCAGTGTTCAGACTTTGAGAATTGACTTTTGGCATTACAACTGTTCTTAGACCGCGCCAACCCGGAGCACTTACAAAGATCATCATGGAGCCAAAGCTCCAAAAACATGACACTGATGGGCTGTGTCAGTGTCCACATTTGTCCATACTTAATATATATATACTGTATTTGTATATAAAATGTATAGAGTTTTGGTCATTCAAATTTGCTTTCATGGTTATCGAATGGTGTTAAAAACCTTCCCATTCACTAATACAATGTGAAATATCCTAGCATTTTACCTACACTGCAAATTACCATGAGTTGCAGTGTGACAGCCTGAATCTGTCAGAACAACAGACCAATCAGCCGTTAGCTAGAAGCGAGACTTCAGCATCAGTAAAATGGGTTAAACTTAATATTCTACTTTATTTTATTTTCAAGATATTGGTCTAAAAATGAACATGGTATATTTTAGAATAGCAGTTTTTTTTTTTTT